GAAGAAAAAAGCCCCAATGTTATAAGAAAGTTGGTTTGGGTTTTTTTTTTCCTAACTCCTTGGTACTCTGATCTGCTAAGTCAACATCGTGACTGGAATTATCGTAAGGTTTCTACAGTCTTAGCTACTGTCGCATTACAACACACATTTTGAAACAGTGCAGAAGTGCACACGTCTGTACGTTATACTTAGATGGTGTCAAAGTATTTGGTTATAAAAACAGCGCATGAGGAACTCTTCGTGCAGCAAGGTCTCAGTCAACTAAATTAACACAAACACTTAATTTGCCATGTCAATGTTCTGATTTTTGAAAGTCTTTCCAGCTGACGTAACACTGAACTAAGAAACACGTGTGACATTAGGATCTCAAAATATTACACGGGATGTAATCACAACTGGGAGCAAAGTTACGTTACATTAGAAATAGAGATGACTCGTGGCTGGCTCCAGAGAAACGCAGAACATTCTAGCACCGACACAGGCAGTGCTTGGCTTGCCTCGAGCCGAGGAGCCTTTGCATGGCAATTCTGTCTGTGTTAGTACAGCGATTCCTGTACGTATTAGCACAGCAATTCTGCCTGTATTAGCACAGCACACAGCATCGTACTTACTGTGGCGCTGGCTGCTGCGGGAGCGGGGGTGCCACGACCCTCTTTACCAACAGCCTGACCCTGTTCCTCAGGCCCGCGGGTGACGAGGATCCTGAAGTGCTGCTGCCTCGTGTTCTGATCTGGTCTGATTTTGAACAAGCAACCCTGCCCTTGAGGAATCCGCTCGACTGAGTTGCTCCTAGGCATTTCTGACCCGTTCTTGCCATTTCCATGCAGTTTTGAACTCAATCCATCATCTGTGGGGTTAATTCCTTCTGCTGGTGGCTGGATGGGGTAGGAAGTACTCCTTTCCAGCCGTATCCGAGGATACCTGACCAACCTGTCCCCTTTTGTTCCAGTAAACCCAAAGTTGTACTCGCCTCCTGCCCCTGTACCGCTTGTCTGCGGTTGCTGTAACTGGAGAACAAAGAACTTTTTCCCTGAATTTACTGACATATCTGGCACATGCTGCAAGGACCAACGCCGGGGTTCGGGGCTGGGAGCACTGTTTTGAGCCTCAGTACCAAATGGGAGCAGAGTAACCTGAGGCACGTCTGCACTCGAAGCCCGATGCTGAATCCTCACACCACTTATGTTCAGACCTGAAGCGGTTTCATTTCCCTCATCTTCTTGGGCAGCTGATGAAGCATCCTCGCCCCGGTTATTAGAAGGAATAGTACAAAATATCCTATGATTACAGCAAACAGTTCCATTGATCGGTTGCCCCAGGTCTTCTGTCAGCCTGGGTGGAGAATCTTCAGGAGCTGCCACTGGGCTGCTCGGAGGAGAGCGGTTTTCAACAGGGGATGCGTAACGCTCCCTCAAGTCCGAGAGCTCACAGGGAAGCGTCTCCTCGGGAGCTTCCAGGGTTGCGCACTCGTCCGCGCAGCCGTTCGCAGCTTTGCGCTGAAGAGAGATCTGCATCGACGAGCTTCTCGTTGGCCGTGCGTCGATACTGTTCAGCAGCTGGGGAATAAACATGGATGTACTCCTTTTCAAGGAGCCCACTTCTTGCAAATCGCCTCCGCCGTAATCCGCTGCGTGTCGGGAGAAAGCGTGAGGACTGTGTCTTCTCGGCAAAGTGTGGAATGCCATGAAAAAGTCATCTTCTCTCTCCCGGTCGAGGATCTCCGATTCGGGGGCTGTGTTGCTTCGCCCAGAGCCAAAATGAAACCGCAGCCGATGGGCCATGGTTTTACAGAGAGAAGAAAAGGAGAGGGAGAACAGCAACAATTCAGGCACTGCCAGAAGTTAAAAACCAAAGACATAAACTCCAAGAAAAAGTGTCCCATCTGCCAAACTGTTAGCGCTGCAGCCCTGATAGCGACAGATAGCAGAAATAGCCCAAGTGGCAAGCGGCATTCCAGGCATGATTGGGGACGAGCGATCGGCGCTCCTACACACCGTGACACAGGGTAGGATGGTGGCGGTCACGTGGCCCGGTTCCCCCTCTCCAGTGTGAGCTGGTGGGGGTTTTGTTTTCTCTTTTTTTTTTCCCCTTTTAATGCCAGCAAGAGCCTGAAACAGCACCTTCACAGCTGCTCCTTTTCCATCAGAGGAGCGGCCCCAGCGGGAGAGCTCTCGCAGCTGACTAAGGCAGCGAGCACACTCGGCACTGCTATAAATCTAAACCACAGCAGATTCGCAAGGCACATTTCTATAAAGCACGCAGAAATTTAACTACGACAAAAGCACTTCGACTTAGTGTTAAAAGTTTCAGTCGACTCCACATGCAAATGAGAAAAATTATTTCAAGCTTAACATTTTGGTATGCGTTACAGCACTAGGTTATCATGGCAGAGCAGGAGTAAATATAGCACGGTTATGCTTTCAATTCTAACGGTGCTCACAACATGATTAAGCAACAAACTTCTTGCCTTTAAAAAGCCTCAACTTTTACATCGTCCCTACCAGCACGACATAGCCTGCACTACCCTGCGCAGTCCCTCTTAATAATTAAAAATTACAACAAGCAAAGCAATCACACATGGCAAAGATTTCTCACAGAACAAAACCAGCAGAAATGTGCAAGAGAGCAGGAGACAAAGTTTCTTTTTCAGTTTTACCAGGCAGCAAAGGCGAGTGAGAACCAGAGACGGGTGTTGCATGTCGTTTTGTACCGATTTGTCTTAAACCTCGTACAGAAACTCTGCCCATTGCTGGCCAGCCTCCAGCGAGAAAGTTTGCAACGTTACCACGAGCGCAACTGCCAGCAGGGAATACAGTTACGCTCCCCGAGAGCCAAGCAACCTCAGAAAAGGAACAGGCAGGCTGGATACACCAACACACAAAACAAACACCCAAAATCAGCTCTGTCAACAGGCAGAAACGCAGTGTTATGAGAATGCTCACATGCGAAGTGTGCTCACAACAGCACTTGTTAGTGCGTACTAGAAAAACTCCGCTTAGCAAGCAGCGTGGCTTCATTTCAATGCACAGACATTTGTTCCCTAAGAGGGCTGGAAAGCTTCACTTTTGTCACCAGCTCCGAGCAGTTGTAGGTGGTGGGTCAGGCTCTGGATAGACACCGAAACCTCTGCCTGCAAGCAGCCTGTTTTCACAGGACAGAAAACCCCAATCACACGAGGAATGGGAGCCCAAAGCGCTGAAGGTGCCAAGAGCCAGCACAATCCCCTATTGTGTTCAGTGGACTGCGGGCCAGCGACGGGAAAAACATCAGCAGCTCCTACACAGCAACAGCACTGCAGATCGCCTTGTGGAAGCATCCACCTTGATATTATTTTATTTCTCAATAAAACCTATTATGCAAGGACACCGTCTCTTTGCACCAAAGATGAAGCCTGCATCATACAGTCTCTGTTTTGATTGGGGAACAGAAAGGACGTAGTGCAAAGCCAGAAAGTCATTTGATAATTTGGGAGCATGATGAAGAAACAAGTTACTGCCCTAAAAGTCATGCAAGTACCGACAATAAGTATTTCAGAGCAAAGCCAAAATAATCAGTTCACTGTCTCATTCTGTAAACATCACCCAGTGGAAATCTGCTACTCTAAGACACCCTTGTACTCACTGGTCAATAGCTCAGAGCACCTGCTGGGAGGAGAGCAGCGGCTCCTAAACCACCGAGCGCTGCCTTTGCCAGGCAGCCACAAGCCCAAGGGCAGACGGGCCACAGAAGCAGGATCACAGGACCAAATAGAGTGATTCAACAGTAAAGTACCACCAAAACTGCCAGCATAAGGCCAGTACTGCATACAGAAAAGTCAACATCTTCAGCAGTGTATCTGGAATTAATACCAGAACTGCCGTTTCTCAGCTGTCACTGCATATAGCGTTTTCTTCCTGCAGCACCTCCCTGTTACCATCACACAGGGACATCCCCGGGGATGCCACTGCCCGTGGCAGGCCAGAGCACGGCCTCAGCCACATCCTCCATGTCACACAGACGCCCTGCAGCCACCCACGACACACACAGGCTGGACAGAGATGCCTGAGCTCACACGCTGCCACACAGCTACGGGTGCAGGACTTTGCTCCAGCGTGTTCACATCAGCTGGCAATGGCAGGGTCTTAATGCTGCGAAGAACTGACCAACGATCTCCTTGAAGTCCAAAAGGTACAGGACCGTTTTAACAGTGCAAGTGGTCATTACGATCCTTATCTGTCCATAAGCACACCCACAGTCAGCCCACTCTAAAAGCAGTCACAGATCTACCAACCTAAAGGAAGATACAATCATTTGGCTGTAAGTCCTCTTTCCCCCCAGATTACAGCTTGTCTGTTTTTCTTCAGCCTACATTTAATATAATATATTTTTGAAGACATATGTTTCTGTACTGTTGGGCTTTTTTTTAATAAAAGGATCTTCACAAAGCAAACAAGTTTAGTAGAGACTGTACTGCACCCAACCAAGAAAATGTTAATGCCTGACCTCATAAAGAAAGAAAGAGCATCACAATTTTCAAAAGCCAAAACAGAAGCCAGAATGACAGTGTTGCTTCTTCCATGTCCGTCTGTGGGAAAACCTTATCTACAAACATTAGCAAATGCAGGGAGAGAGATGTTGGAAGAGCCACTGCATCAGCCAAGTGAAGTATTCGCAGCACAGGAAAGGACACTCCGCTGACCAGGGGGTGAAGCAGCTGCTTTGCAAGTGCCCAAAAAAGGTTGGGACTTCATGAGTTTGCACTGGAGAAGTCCAAGGAAGAGCACGAGGAGGTTTTCACTGTCAGAACACCGAGCTGTGGAGGACCGTTTTGGTCTGAGCCAGCAGGGCACTACTTTTGTGTTTAATGCTCTCTTAGTCCTGATATCAGATGGTTTTTATGCTTCTACCTGCATTTCTTAGCACACTTACGTAAGCAACAGACAGAAATGCACCGTTAAGATGTGCTGTACTTTCACATGGTGCCCTGCGAACAGTAAAACACAACCAAGACAGGCACTCACCAATCTGTTTTCATCGAACACTTCAAACAGGAGACGATGATTGGTTGGGTTTACCTGTGAGAAAATTCAAACAGTGTCACTTTAGGTTCATGGCCTTGATAACAACGATCATACAGTGATTAAACCAGGAAAACAGAACGGGACTAACAGGTTTTCTGCAGATCTTCAGTTTTACTTAAACTGGAGCAGCAGAACAGTCATTTCATTGCTGCAACTAGAACTGGCCCAGCAGTTTACATTAAAAGCTCTCATTTACTGTGTTCAGTGTGATTAATTGCAAATGTCATAATAATAACTGCAAGTAAAGAGAAACTTACTCTAAAATAAAATTCTTCATTCCATTTTGGATTCAGTGTCTGCAAAAGAAATAAGCATATTTACATACTAAAATTTCTTTAGGTTTGCTGCTTTGCAATCATCAAAATGTGCATGCGAGTGACACTCTTCTAGGAAAAAAAAATAGAGAAAAAAGTATGCCATAAAAAACTTTTACAGATATTGCCATCAAATTGTTTAGAAATTCTCTGCTGAGTAAACCAAACGTGGGAGGAGGATACTTGAGTCAGATGATCCTAAAATAGATGTTAAGTATAAATAGGATTCTATGAGTAAAAGACAAATCACTGACTACCTGTAGAAATAAAACCTGAAGACTTTTCATTCTAAAGATTCATTTAAACCCAGGTGGAAAAAAAAGGGTTTTCTTTAAATACAAGGTCAATTTTAGGGCTACAGAAATAAGGACAGGTATGTAATGTAAATTAAACAAAAAAAGAACAAAAGGACAGGTTATTTCCTTCGAATAGGTGTGATACTCTTCTTAACCTCCCCCAAGCCGATGGAGGATTTTAACTTTCTGTTAATAACCTGAATAAAAGGTACAGAATAAAATACGCATATAGACTGCAACGTGAAGTGAGCTCGAGCATGACAAAATAAATGGATTAAAGGAAAGAGATGAGAACCTCAAACATGAATAATCTGGGCAATTCCCACTGGGACCAGTTGAAAGGCAAGCACAAGATGCCCAGTGGTTCTGGTTCCCGGCCACACCATCCCCTCACCCTGTCCCGCAGCAAGGATTGACCAGAGGAGCTGACAGTGAACTCTGCCTCTGCACCCACCACAGTTTGGCTGTAGCAGAGGAGAATGTGGCTGCTGATCTGAGCTCCTGGATCTGGATCCGAGGCTGATCATCTCCATGGCCCTGTGCCTCCTCACACCACCCTCCCCTGCTAATGGAAACCCAAGGGGTGCTCGGACCACCCCATCCCATCCCACTCCACCCCATCCTGCTGACAGCTGTGCCCCCCCTTCCCTGAGCTGGGGCTCAGACTGAACCCAAGGGTGCCAACCTAATATTAGCAATGAAATCAAACACCGACATCTGGAAGCCCTGCTCTAGAAAATTAGGGGGAAAAGGGAGGACAAAGGGAAATAAGAATACAAAGAGATCAAAATTCTAAACCTATGTAAAGCTGTACTCTCAGAAAAGTTGTACTTGTTTGCCCTAAGCAATCTTACAACAGAGCAGGAAAATACTCCATGAAAAAAGACCATGTAAAAGGTAGATGAAAAGAAGATGTGTGCAGGTGAGGGGCAGGGAGAGGGGATGGGGACAGAGAGGAACTTTCCACTTTTTTTTTGCCTTAAGGAGCACAAACGTATTCAGTAAAAAAATGAAGAAAAAAAAAAAAGAGTTACTTTTAACATACTTGTTTTCATTAAGTGCTGCTGTTATTGGCAAGAGAGGTTCTGTCTAATGTAACAAATGAAGTGTGGTCTCATACTAAATTTGAGGGCACTACTGTCCATCAATGGAGGTTTCATTTTGAATGCTGCTCAACCACAAATACAAATCTCAAGAATTATCCGATGTATCAGGCAGCACATTTTTTGGTGATGTCCTGGTTACGGGCAGGGATTTCTCCCACCTTGTCAGGCCCAACAATTAGCAGGTCAAGACAGAAAGCACAAACACTGGGATCCCAGCAAAGGAGAAAGACACGTGCAAAGAGAGGCCCCAGAAATAAATGCATGAATAACTACATAAAGGATATTAGCAGGGAAACAACAACAAAAAGGCTCATCAGCAAAAAGAGAGACATCCTAAAAAGGGCAAGAACTGTACAGATAAAGGACTGCCAAGAGTCAAGCTGAGTTAGATCTTCCGCAGGATATTAAGCAAGCACAAAGGAGGGTTTTCAACCATCTGAATCAAATGAGAGCACAGAAAGAAAGGATGCTCCCGAGCAGGGAGGCTCAGTGGGCAGACAGAGCACGTCCAGTGATGGGAATGGTGCTCAGCGTCACCCAGGGACAGGGCACAGTGGCTTAAGGGAGCGGTGCACAGGCAGAAGCTGTCACAGCCAATGTGGAAGCGGAGCCTTAGGAGCTCAGCCAAACCAAGGAAACTGGACAGCCTTCACCCAGGCTTTGGGAAGTGAAATCACCGCCTGGCAGCAAGAATCCCAAAAACATACTGAGTGTCTTACAGGATGCCGCAAGACGGCAAACACAGCTCTTTATTGCAGAAAGAAGAGGGTGTTGGTGGCCTAGCAGGCCACTCAAAACACCGCTCCAAAAGGAAAGGTGGGGCATTAATCAAAGTCCATGGCTGGAATAACTAAACATGTGCCAGGAGGTAAATCAAACCACAAAGCATCAGAAATTCAACACAGCTAGATCATGGCAGGTGAAGGGGCAGTTTTTCTGGTAACCTGATGTGCACTGAACCTCTGGGCTGCAGGCAGCCCTTGGCAAGATGTGTGCCACGAGCTGCACATGTGGTGCACTGGGGAAAGGGGAAACACAGCCCCTTCTGCCCTCCCGAAGCAGTGCCACAGGTACCCACTGCACTGAGGAAGACAAAAAAGAGAAGAAAAATAAGAAACTAGTAAAGGGTTAGACATCATCGCACTACAATAAAAGAGCTGAAGGAGGTCATTAGCAGTGTCTTTCAGAACCACTCCTGGGGCTGATTTTGCTCTGGTTTTTTGTTAATGTTTTTAACTCCAAATCAAGACATCCTAATGATGTCTGTTATTTGCAAAACAAACAGATTGCAAATCACATGGGAGGAACAGTGCTTTGAGGGCAGGCGTCTTGAGATGGAATGAGACAGTTCAAAGCAGAAATGAGTAACTAGCACTTCCCAGTGGATGAGTTAACATCACTGTTCTGGAAATGCCCGAGAAGTCCAGGCTGTAAGCGACAGTGACAAGAGCAGTGAGAAAGGGCAGATGCAGTCCCAGGAACACCTCACCATGGTCAGCCCTCTCTGCAGTTGGGTTGCTGGGCAAACATTGGCCTCCTCTTCCTTCCTGGGACACCACTGAAACCCATGAGCTTCTCTCTTACTTGATATAACCAATGCAGCGCTTCCACATCTTCACTACATTTGTATTTATGGTGGTCTTCTGAGACGCCTTCTTATCCTCCTCTCAACCTGGATCACAGCTGCTAAGGACTGCTGCAGACCCTCATTTCCAGTCGAATGCTCTCGTTTCAGCCTCCCCTCACTCCTGCACTACATCCATTACATCTCAAACACGTAGGAGCCAAATGAGCCACATCCTTGTAATCATGCTTTCATACCAGCAATGCCCTATCAAATAAGGACTATGCTGTTCTAATAAGAATTTAATAATTAACTTAAACCTTAAATTAATTAAAATAGAAATCAGAAATTTACTAGAACTCTGGATACGAATATCATTATTTCCTAAGAAGCGAGGGGAAAAAATAAAGTCCTACCCTCCCTGCCACGCTTCCCATCTCCTCTCCCCCATTTCGCAGACTTGCTGCTGCTTTACAGAGCAAGCCATCTCAGTAAACCATTATTTTTCAGGAACCCTCAAGAATCCATTTTGCTAACAAGGCCACGAAAGCGAGCGCACAGACTGCTGGTGGGGTGCCACTATTCAAGTGTCTCTGACTGCCCCTGAGCTCTCTCCAGAGGAAAAAGCATTGCCCATTCAGTAGCTGGGACAGTCTGAGCCCATGTTGCCACCGGTCCAAGATTACTACAGTGGGCCAAATTATTTTTTTAATAAGAAAATAAACCTTCACCCACGCTCATTTGATTCTTTTCATCCACCCTTTACAATGTAAGACGGATGTATCAGCGCACAGACTCTAACTTCTGATGAGCATTGCCTGTCTGTAACAAGACAGTCACAGCCCTTCTCGCGCTGCAGCAAGATCGCGTCAGCTCAGGCTCTAGCAGGATGGGAAAAGCCAGGTAATTGATCACAGCGAACGCGTCAGCTCAGGCTGTACCAGGGCTGCAACAGCCAGGTACTCACCACAGCCTGACATGAGCTCTGCGGCCCCTGAGTGGTTTCCCTGCATAGGCTGCAGGTGCAGGACTCTGTCCCAGGAAAGGGCACAACAACAAACACACAACACGCTCGCTACAAAAACAAGGTACACAAACAGCGAGGAAACCTCCCTTGTGTGAAACTGGTGAGACCATCCTGGGCATCCGAGACTGCTTCAAGGAAGCCAAAAATGCCACAGTCCACATTGTGACTCTAGCCACAAACCAGCTACTCCTTTTAGGAAAAGTTAACGTTTTTCTCACAAATTTTAATGTCTACAAACTTCACATAAAACAAACCCAGATGGGCCGTAAAGAACATATTTAAAAGGAACATAATGAACGCAATGAACGTAAGAACGCTATTATGAAACAAGTGCCAATGCTTAACTAGGAAATCTTTCTCCAATGACTTTCGCTTTCCACCAGCAAATAGGCCCGGGTTCTGTGAAAAGCCCTGCCTGAACCTCCCAGCTTGCAGCTCGGTTTTCTCCTGACACCTAACGTCCTGGTTTCAGAACAGCACCGCTCTGGTTCGTGTTTACATTTCCCTCGCTGCTCTGCTTCACAACAGTGATTTCAACTGAACCACTGCTGATCCCAAATATCTTCGTAAAAGTGACAACTCATTATTTTTCCTTTATTTTTCATATGGGTTATGACTTTTTTCCTCTCTGCCACCACTATCAGTAAATTTAAAATAAAATCCTTAAGACCCTGATAACAGCAAATATTCCCTGGTGGAATTTTTGTGTGGAATGAAATTTAAAAAAAAAAAAACACAAAACAAAACAAAATTTAATTTTTGTTCTAATTAAAAATGTAATAAAACTAATTAAAAATTCTAATGAAACGTGTTCAGTGCATCTCCAGGCTTTTCTTACAACACATCTTCTGTCGTTTGGCTGTCTTTAAAGTCTCATATTAGAAAAATATTTGAAAATGGAGATTTTGAAAGGAAACATTAAAGAATGATAATGTTTGCTTAGAGTTAAATAAATAATAATTAAAACAGAGTTTCTTAGCTCTTTATTTCAGCTATGTCTTTCATTAAAATATGACTTTGATAACAGAAACGGTGACTGATGAAATGACATTTGATAAGCCAAGGTTTAGAGAATAATATGCAATCTATCAGGATCTTTTTCCTCTTGTTTCTCTATCAACAGACCTCGCACGCTGAAGATGCATGCGCTTGTTTTCTTATTTTGGTTTGAAAAAAAATACATTATTCATTTGCTATACATGTACACAACTATTTAAATAAATGTTGTATTACATTACAGAATTGAGTTCTAGTATTCTTAGTATTTCCAAAACAGTGGAATAAGAAGAGTATATACGTACCTTCTTAATAGTCTTTGTCTGCACAAGAGCAAGTTCTCTGTTCTCATCTGCTACATACAAGGAAAGTTTCACATACGGGTCACTGCAAAAGAAGACATCATATTTAATGGGAATATAATTTTACAGCCAAATACATTTTCAGTATAAAACTTCTCTCCCCACAGGGTCACCACTAACCCAGCCGAAGTTTACAGAGAACCCTTTAACTTTATCTTCATTAGGATGCAGTGTCGTGGTATCCACCCTGAGCCATGGCAGGGCTGAAGCCAGACACACTTCCAAAACACCAAAACACAGCCTGAAGCTTCTTTCCAAGCACCACACACACCAGTTCTCAGGTTAAGTGATCTCACAGGAGCCAACTGCTCAAGGAAGCATTTCCATCAATTCTCCTGAGCTGCACCTTGCTTTGGAGAAAGCTGTGCTCTTACATCAGCCAATGCAAAGAAAGGTCTTGGTGACAAGGCCGTTTGGCGCAGCTTACAGCCAGTACCACTGGGAACAGCGCTCTGGCACATCCAATTTCAGTGCAGCTAATGGCTAAATTAAACTGAGAAAAAAAATAGCAAGAGAATTTGAGGGATGACTCGGGTGTCTTTCTACTGCAGTACCTGGCCCTCCGCAGCTCAGGTTACCAGTTTCAGCACAACGGTGCACTAAGCCATTTCCAAACACGTGAACAGGGCTGTGACTCAGCTAACAGACTCACGGGAAAAGAGAATGCCAAGCAGAAGAAAGCAGATGCTCCAAGGTGGCTCTGCATAAGCTGGCTCTGCCCAGAGGGGCCGGTGCCAAGTCTGCCAGCTCCAGAGCTGGCACTTCAGGCACCCACAGCACCGCAGCTCCCCGGGCCATGGGAACACTCGAGCGGTACCGGCTCCTGCCCCATAGCTCCCGATGAACAGCAGCACTCTGCAGAGAGCGGCCTCTCCATTACGTCTGACTCTTACCCAAACTTGGTAAATGGCATCAAGGTAAAGTAAAACTTCACTGCAATTTTCCTCTGATCACATCTCCCTTCAAAATACTGCTAAAATTACATGTTATGTTTCCACAAGGATTTCACTCCTCTCCCATGAAACACCTGTTTCTTTTATAAGCTTGCTAGACAAAACTTCCAAAAACTACAAAGTTGTGCTTGAACAACAAACCTCATAGACAGAACCTGCCAATGTTAAGGAGCACAAAAAAAAAAAGAGAAGGAGCCATTAAAGATGCCACTGTAGAGGCATTACGGTACAATAAAAAATTGCTTTTTCATGCTAGGAACATTCTTTGACACTTGAAACTGAAGACTTCATAAGCTCAAAGACCTTTTCATGACAAGTATTGGTAAAGATCAAGCTGAAAATAATTAAGGTTGGGTTTTGTTCATTTGTTTGATTTGATACTTTTTACAGTTTCTTTGAGATATTTCTCTTATACCCTGGTGCTGTGCCATTAAATTTCTATTGCAGTTCACAAATGAAAGCTTATCCTCTTGAACTCTAACATTACCCACAAAACTTCTTCAGGAAATGCAAAACTTATTTCTAGGCAGGAGACCAAGGATCCCAAAACATCTCCGTAATGAAAATGTGCATGAGACCAGGAGCCTTCTCACACGGTGAATTCATTGCATGTTCAAAGTCCTGGAACTGCAAACACCACGTCCCTATTTTAGAAACGCAACTGCTATTAAAATGTAAGCAAAACATTCAACTGCTCTACTCGGGAAAACATAAACTAAACTAAATCACTGAACACCTGCTCTCAGATGTTGATTTAGCTAAAAACCACAAGCGCCAAACAAACACAAACCCCCAACCAAACAAACAACGCCCCATGTCTAACCAGAGCAGTTGTTTCTGCACTCCCAGAAAGAACAACAGAAACACAAGAAACAAAGATGAAAGGTTCAGGGCTTCAGAATGCCTCCAAAATACATAAATACAGTCTGTCCGTGTTTCACGTGGAAACATGCTACTCAACCCTCACCTCGGGCACTTTACCTGAAAGGAGTACTAAAAGCAATCAGCAACAGTGACTCCCCCCCAGAGCAAGTGCCTGCCGCAGCCGTTCCCCAGCCCGCACAGCTCTGCCAAGGGGAACCGAGAGGCTGTTCCCATGCCAGGTCTCTCACACAGGCCTCAACACCTGCGGGTCACGGAGCAGGTCCACAGAAGCCTCATAACAGCTGCAGCAGCCGCTCCAAGCTCCGAGGAGCAGCAGCGCGCTGGTCACGGGCGAGGGCCCAGCCCAGCAAGGCAGGGGCTGGCTGCAGGGCAGCGAAGGCACAGCCATGGCGGGTGACCAAAACACAGCACACGGCAGAACATGGGCACGCCATTCGCTAAAGAAGCGTTAGTTAGTAAAGAAAGATAGATTCACTCAATACCCTAGAGCTCCACGAAACAACATGCTCATTATGCAAAACTCGTTTCCCAAAACCCGAAAATGAATATATGGATTCAACCAAAACAAAGTCAAGACCAAAACAGGTACACCCATCATCTTCCCCAATGAAGCTGTTTAGTTTGCTTTATGATTTCACGTTATCCACTCAGTTCTGGATGTGCCTGCATCTGCCCAAGACAGGAACACGCAGGAACGCTCCTCTGCCCTCTCCTCCCTCCCAAAGGGGGGCACCCTCCAAACCCCAATCACAGAACAAGGCAGCACTCCAGGCACTGATCAACCAAACCCTGTTAATGCTAGGGAGGAAGCAGGTTGTCAGCTGGAGTAAATAATAACCAGTGGTCATGGAAAGACTCCTGAAAAAGGGAGAAGTCAACTTGAAAATGAGTGTAATGGAAGCATGATATTTTTCAAAGAGTACAGATGGGAGGGAATAAAGGCACAGTCAAAATGTGCTTTGACACTGCCAGCTTTTAAAAACAAACATCCAAACAGCTTCACACTTGGCCCCTTTCACCATCGTTTCTCTGCACCCAGTGGACTGCAACAGAAGCCGAAATGAACTTTCCTGTTCCAAAAGTAACGTTTCAAATCACACTGTACACAGCTCACTCTTTACATCACGTTCTATACACAATAGTTGCAATGCCTAAAAAAATGAAATAAGTGGAGGTGTGGTGAATCAACTAGCCAAGTTTTTTTAAAAATTAATAAATCAGACAAAAAAAAATAATCACTGCATAGTCTGAGTAATCGTACTGCAACTTCCTCTGCAACTTAATCTGGCACGTGAACTTTTTATTCTTTCCCTCCTCCTTCCAGTTTTGGTGCCACTCCCCAGTTTCTAAAGACTCCTGACTACATTTGGCTCCTCTGCACTGCATGTTTCAGCAAGCCAACCCTGCAACATCGTGATCATTCTTCAGCAAATTTCTCCAGTAACGTGACAGTTTCCATCAGTCATAAATATAATTAGGCAATTCTTTACATTGCAGTTACATAAACTCTTAGTGACTAGAATACACCTGACTAATATTAAACTTCATGTGTTTGGAAGTCTATAAATAAAACACACAGTAAAGCTTTTAAGAAACTTGTTCCTTAGAATCAGGCTCAGATTGCAACAACTAAATAAACCATCTCATTTTTAAGTGCCACTGACTCAGCAGCTCCAGACGAAACACATGGGTTTGTACGTCCACAGAAAGGAAAGCCTCCGCTAGCAGAGCAAGGCCATTACAACAGCCTCACAGGAATCAACAGCCAGCTCCTCTCTCCACTACAGCTGATGCTTTGCCTGCAGCCACCTTGCAGCACCCAACATCTAACCTAGATGGGGATATGGAGAAATCCTCACTGACCACATCAGTAACTGCCCAGGTAGGATTTTGTGACTCGCGCTTCCAGCCTGCGTCACCTCAGCGTTCTTGCGTGACCCTCAGGAAAGCCCTTCTCTCTGTGCTGCTCTGCGCTGGTAGCACTTGGTGACAGACACACGAGATGGAATTCAACAGGGTGTCCAGCAAAACTAAACCAACTGTTACAACCAGCAAAACGTAGCCTCTTGTTTCTAATCCCTACAGCTGCTGAGTACACTGGACACCAGGCAGTACCCATGGGCTCCCTCAAATACCATGAACACGCACAGCCACAGCAGGCTTTGGTAAGTTAAAATAATGTGTGCCTAACATAGAGATATAGGTTAATACCTGCAGAATGATGCTGGTCTCTAACATCTGATATTAAGAAATCTCATCCCATACACATTTGTCATCTGCTCTGTAACACAACAGAAGCTCCTGAGATCAATACATCTGCTAGGGAAAACTGAACAAGGCACAAGGTAAAATAAGAGAATGGCTGAGACTTCCTGGAGATCAGGCACAGGAAAAGCACTGAGCAAAGCAGTGAGGAAATCAAAGAACAGGAAAAGAATGAAAGAAGCAGATGCACAATTAAGAATATAACTACAGTAGCAAACCAAAACATAGAAGAGATATCCCAGAGAGCAGATACTAAATGTCAAAGAGTAGTGGAAGCACTGGAGGAACTTTACAATGGCTAACTGCACCCTGAAGTCCCATCCAAAAGCAAGTACTCTAGATCAACATGGCACTGATAAAACCGACAAAACAAAAAACTGGCACTGACACGGATTTATTAAACAACAACATGAAGATCAGTAAAACTGAGGAAAATTTGCAGAAGAGCAAAATACAGCATCTGATCTGTTAAAAAATCACTAGAAAAATTATCAGCAAATTGGAGTGAAATACAGATTCCTTCTACCGGCAGTCTTTGCAGAAGTGTTAGAGCAAAAGTCCTGATGCTCCAGATCACAGAAGACACAATAATAAATAAATAAAACGCCTGCTGAGAGCACTCAGAAAAACCAACAAACCAGCTGGGTTAGAGGGAACTTTGAGCACAGAAAGCAGACTCCGATCAGTCTGAAGTTGTACTTGCCAGATATTTTCACTCTGAAACTGATGGATTAAAAGGAGGGAATTAAAATGAAGTATTGTTTTCTTGACTTTTCTAAAGCAGACAGACTCATTCCTGAAGAAAGCATTATAAAAAAACCCCATATGGCACTGCTGGTAACCACAATCACAAGTGACGTGTGAAAACTTTCATTGTGCTCTAAAAATAAGTTGAGCATAAAGCAACTCATTCCACAGTTCCCATTAGTGTCAGTCCCC